TCTCACCTAATGTGTGTTGATCACACCAGTGTGATATGATGAGATGGGTTCCCACACCAGCATGTTGCGAGTAAATGAGGTAGTCTCACCGAATGTGATGCGAAAAATTATGGTTTATTCTATATGATGCGTTGAGTTTATGTGTTATAAAATAAATGGGTATTTTGTGGTTTGATGTGACAAAAGAGGGTTGTTTTGTTAAAAAGTTGTATATTTGTTATTTATATACACATATGGGTTTTATAAAAGAGTTTTCGTGATTTTCATCCTGTAATAGCAATCAAAAGGATTTCTTACTAAACCTCAAGGTTTAACTCTTATTTTGGTGTTTTAAAATGTGAATTACAAGTCAGACAACCAGATGATAAGGGAAAATGGAATTTATGAAGAAATATATGATTGCTTAATTGCATATGGATTTTGGGATAATGTGTTATTACTTGTTATGTATAAGTTTTGTAATTAGATTATGGAAGAAAAATTTGATAGCTACTTTTATATTGTAACTTTTGTAGATTTGAGACAAAATGTGGAAATTGTATTTCATGATATATGAAATATGCGGTTATATGCAAATGTGGATTTTAGGGGTGTTACATCATGTGCCCCTCACATAATGGGCATTTTAGTTATTTTACCCATGTTTCTTATTTTTCCGTTAATAAAATAAAATAAAATAAATATCATATATAAAAAATCAAATATTTATTAAAGCAAATTCAAATTTAACAAAAGCCCTAAGTTAATACCTGCTTTCTTCCCTTTTTCCTGGTGAAGGTGATAGTGTTCTTCTAACTTGGTGAGGGAGAGAGATGAATGAACCTAAAAGATGCATAACCTTTCAATGAAACACACCATCTATGCCCTACACCTGCAAAAGCACATTCAAGAAACCGTGCCTTGCTATGTGTAACCCCTTCGTGAAATACTCCGTCTCTAACCCCAAACCCACATATCTCTCTGTAACACCCCATACTCCACATTTGCATAAAACAAATATTTCATTACATAGAAACATGGATTACATCAAAAGGTCCCACTAGTACATGGATTGCTATATGTACAAAATCTACATATAAAATTTCCAAAACTAATCCTGTACTACTACATGAATTACAACATGTATCTTCAAAAACAGGAAACAGATTAGGAAAATAATCACATTTTCCCTTTCCCTTTAATATCCCTTGACCCAGCTATTCCTGCATTGCATAATTTAAAACAGAAAATGAGGGTTAGACCATACGGGTCTAGTGAGTAAATCCCCTGTTTGCAAATGCAGGGTGCCAAACACCAAAATATGATAATATAATCTTGGCTTAGAAAGATACCGCAATATAACAAATATGCAGTTTTCATTATCATATATAAAGAAGTATACCCAAAAATTCTCACTTCTTTAAAATATCTCTAGACAGAGATCTTTC